TAAATGTCGCAAAAGAAAGTGCAACAGTGGGAACAAATGCAGATTGTACCGAAGTAATTCTACTTAAAGCTCAACTTTCGCAAAGAGACGCTCAATTCGATCAGTTACGAAAAGCTTATCAAAAAGCATTAGAAGAAAATATGAAAATGAAAGTAGAAATAGATATTGTAAAAAAGTCGTTAGCAAAGTATGAAAATGAACATAAGACATGCAAAATGAAAGTAGCGTCTGTGCAAACCGAAACTACCGTGGAACCTATGATTAATCCAAAAATAATTACAACTACAGGAGACACAAGTAATAAAGTATCTACTAGTAGCGTTGCATCAACGATAAGTTCTATTGATCATTGGGCAGACAGCGCTTGTAGTCCAGCTATATCTATTGAACCACCCAATGTGACATCAATTTTAAATTCCGACGATAGCATAGTACTCACCGATGGTACTCCAAGGAAATTACCACATCCATTGTCCCGAGCATTCATTACTTCGTCTCGAATATTGCAGACTCTTTCGAACATAACGCAAAATAAAGCAAAAGTTGAAAGCCCTCTAGCAAGGAATCCCAAGAAACGAACAAACGAAAATTTAACAAACCAACCAATAAATTTAGACTTTAATTCTCCAATTCAAGCTTCAAATTCCAAAAAACGAAAAGCGACGGATATGCTCGGTACTTCTACTTCGAATCAGCCATATAAAATACCTCATACAAACAACGAATCAGAGAAGAAAAATAATCCTGATGCAGCTGATGTAGAAGTTAATTATTCAGAGGTACAAACAAATGAAAAAACAGAGCAATCGCAAAATAGATCTGGTTATAAAAATATCGATAGTAGTTCAATATCTATGGAAAATCAAGTAGATGAAACTAACGGCCAAGATGACAGTGTAAAATGTTTCTTATACAGGGAACATGAAAATAGCGTAAAAAGAAGTTTCTTAATTCAAGCAGAAGAACCATCAAAGGATAAATCAGACGACGAGAAGAATCATATCCAAGAATGTGGTCCATATTTATTGGGTAACCTTGAAGTAAGAATGTCTGAAATCAATGGCACAATTAGCGTTTGGGGTAAAGAAATAGGTGACGAATCTGTAAGTGATAACGAAGATGACATAGAAGTGTCTATGAAATCGACTGAAAACAAATTGTGTTCTTGCTGGCAAAAATCACCACAAACTAGATTTAATGGCAACTCGATTGTGTGTTCGACTAACAAAAAGTCAAAGAACCCGTTTAAATTTAACAGATCTCAAGTTTCTCAATGTCATTACAGTTTGTCGCCAAGTACAGCAAAATCGCATGTTCTAGTTAACGATGCAAATGATAAAAAATATGCAAGTAGTCCTTTCACACCGAATGCGTGTACTTATTCTTGCGGAGAATACGATTCCACGAAACAACGCAAAGAATGTCAGACATGTAAAAGTACTATACGTTCACAAGAGAAATTACATTCCTGTAGTGCACATCATACAGAATTCTTAGAGAAAGAATGTCACTGCGGATCATATCATGAAACACGGACACGCAACGATTGTCCTAATCATAGTAAAGATAAGTGTCATCGCATCAAAGGAATTCGGAGGAATTCGTGCAAAAGTACATTTACACCCGATTCAAATGGGCACTTGGACGAAAATATAACGAATACCTCTACCGAAATAAATGAAGTATTTTGCAAGTACAATAAAATGTGTCGAAACTCTCCTCAAAATATAACTGATAATAACCCGCAGCCACCAAACTGTTGCAATACTCTTACGAGTACCTCTTACACGCGTAAATCTTCTTTAAACAATACACACGATCACGATAGCTCGGAAGGACAAACATGTAGTCATTCTCCTTCTCACGAAGGCGAGGACGATCTTCTAATTCCACACAAGCGATCTAATGAAACACCTGAAGTAAGATAATGCAAAATAATTGTCGATCTATCTAATAAATGCATTAGAAATTTGGTATATCGCTCTAATACTTGTTTTGTGTACGCAGACGAGACAACGAAGATTAAGCGGCAGGAAGGTGCGAGGAATTCTTATGGATCTCTTAAGAGGATGTGGAGATTGTCGCAGCACTAGTGACAATGGTGCAAATAAAAGTAGTTTCCAGCACAAAGGGTCATCGTCGTATATACCAAACGTTCCTCAAATTAAGATTTCTCCTTGTACACTCGAGCCAGCATGTTCGAGTTCAAAGCAATGCAACGACAAGTAACTTATTTTGTTAATATTATCATTAAAGTATGGCGTGGGGAATAAATTTGTATTATTTGTATAATTCATTACTTACAGATGCTGTCATGCATATGCACGAAGGATCGAATCTCAACTGGAAGAGTTCCGTATGGAAATGGAAAGAGTACGATCGCGCTCGGACGCTATCCTCGATATGCTCAATATGCTTCACTCTGTTGATACAAACTAATGGAACTAATATTACTTTTAAATAAGTGCTTTTTTTCTTGTACAGGTCATTAATTTTAATTTTCTTAAATCAAGATGTGCGAACTATCGTGAAGCTTTCTTATTTACTTCTTCGACTTCATTGCATATAAAAATTACATGATCAATTTATTAAATAAAGTACATATACGTCGAAAAACTAAATTATTACATTTCATCACACGCATTGCTCTTTTTATGTTATAACAGATCAGTTGCGTCTGAAAATTTTTATGATTTTCATACCGTGGAAAATAATATTTACCATTTTTTAAAGAGTTTATCGATAATGGAATGATCACAAAAACCCAGACAATTTTTGTTACATTCTAGTTGGGCAATATAATTTATACGAGTTTACAATGAGATTGATCGACTTCCTGTCAGTGGTTGCAGTCGCAAGAATCAAATCCTGGCCCAGCCTCGCCAGGCAAGACACCAGGCGGTACCTCTCCTTGACCCTTGAAGATGTTGCTATAAGATGTTTTCAAATAATTTACGTGACCCTGCAATGACCTTATACGGCCTTGAGCCTGTTCAAACGCCTCGTTTAGATTGTTTATTTGGCCTTGCATCTTCTGCCGAATCTATAAATCGCAACGTAACGTATGAGCTGCATTTAACATTCATAAAGTAAATAAAACTTTCAACAACGATTTACTTCATCTCTATCTTTTTGCGCAGCTCGCGCGGTAGCTCTGCATTGTGCCAATTGTCTTTCCATTTCCGCGATTTGGCCTTGCATCGATCTTCTTATAGTTTCACATCGTTCTTTCGTCCTTGCCACCTGTCTCGCTGAATCTTCTCGAACCTGTTAAGTAAACAACGCATTAAAACTACTTTATTCCACACAAGGATAGAGAACAATAACGTACTTGATCCAGCATCGCCGTTAATTGAGTAACTTCGTGCATCTTCTCGTCGATGCGTTTCTGTAACTGGGCCTCGTGTTCCTCAAATCTGGCAAGTGTATTTTTCATACGTTCATTTTCATGCCGTAACTCAGAGTTTCTTCTTTCCAATTCGTCGAACCGCCCCGATCCAGTGCCCCTTTCATCCTGTAAATAATACGCAGGGGTAATGTTTCGAATGTCTGATCATTCTGAAGGACAACTGCGAAGACAGTAACCTGGATCGCTTGGTACTCGCTACGCAAAACGTCCAACTGGTTTTGCAAAGTTTGCATTTTATCTTTGCATCCTATAAGCTCCCGTGAGAGATCCTCGCAGTTTCTCTCTGCGACCAGGCGCATTTGTTGCGCTTCCTGTAGCTTCACTTGTGTTTGTTTCAAAAGATCAGGTAACGGGGCAAGCTCGGCAAGCTTCTCTTGGAATTGATTCTATACGAAAAACAGCAAAATGTCTATGCGCCAACAGACATACACATGTAATTGATTACACACTTTAACTCGACCGATTTCTAACGTCACATTCTCGTTCATTCGAGCGTTATCCATCTCCATGAGATCGAGTTGTCGGCGTTGCTCTTCCACTTGTTGTTGCGCCTATTTGTTTTAATGGTCATTTTTATATGTACCTATGTAGAAACTTTCAGAAACTATGTATTGATAACGGAAACCTGTAAATATTTATTACGATAATCCTCGAGCTGAGCAGATTGATCTTGAATCAAAGATCGTAATTCTTCGAGTTCGTCTTGGGCTTCCCGAAAACGTTGTTTAACCACGATCAATTGTTGCTCCTGTTCGACCATTTGCTCCTTAAAACCTGTCGTTAAATTGACAATGTAGATCACCGAAATTTATGTTTGACAAAATTCAAGATAATCACCTTCGTATTTGTCTTTTTCGGATTCGATCGCTTTCAAACGTTCTTGAGCGTCTATCAGTTTGATGTCTAATTTTTCTTTCTCTTCGATGGCTTCGCGTGTTTGCTGCTTCATTTTTTCTGCGTCTGCTCTTAGACACGAAACCTCGCATAGTTTGTTTTTGTAATCATCCTGAAGGCGTGCGTATTGCTCGCGAAGATCACGTAACTGTTGCTGAGGACACGTGCTAGCGCCCTTTTATTAAATAGCTAGTTTAATAATTGTTTAACGCGCGTTAAACTTCCTGCTGAAGTTCAATCTTACCATAGGTGCATTTGTACAAGGACCAGTACAAGTTGAGGAAGGCGCAGGTGGCATCTGTATATGATTTAAAATATATCAATTTATAAGGGATCGAAAACCCTAGAGTAAAAGAAAATGTGAACAGAAGGATGTCAAAGTTGTACGTGATAAATGTCTACATTATACTGTACATAATTTAATAAGAGTCGTTACATTTAATTAGCAGTGATTGTGTAAAATCTTATATGAAATAATCATATTTTAAATGTGGCCTATGGACTTTCAATGATAAATTACGTACAGAATAATGTTACATTTTGTACGGATTAAAAAAAAAAGACGAAATCGTTATAAAAATATGTTTATTTCATACAAAATTTTTGATATTTAACATTTCTTCAACGTGATTCAAGGTTCAAATAGAATAGTTACTATCGATCCCGATCTCCAGTGGCATGACAATTTTTATAACAAATGGTGTACCGATCAACTAACCCGTTGCGTAGGTTGACGCAACGAAGGTGATCAAGATATTGTTCGGATACCTTGACAAGAGGTACGGGAGGTGGCGGTAGGATTGGTACAGGTGGTACGTAAGGTGGTGAACCCGACGATGAAATCATAGGTGGAGGAGGACAGCAACCACATGGCGCACAGGGACCGGTGCATTTCAGCAACTTGCGTTGTTGCTCCAGTTGCTGACGTTCTCGCTGCACGTTAGCAAGTTCTATCTGCATGTTGCGTACTTCGCATTCTATATTGCCCAGCTGTTGTTCCTAGAATTGTTGTCAACGCATAAGTATGTAAAATTGGAGCAAAACTCAGTTATGAGTAATTATGTAACCAAGTTGCCCAGCTACCAGTTACATAATTACTCATAATTGCTTAGAGCAACAAGCGTGTCCCTGCGACTCGTTCATTAAGACTCAATTATGTTTTGTAGATGTACTATCTGTTTGGTGTTGGTGCCATAGGATGCAAGTTGGTTCTCCAGTTCCGCGGGACACGTCCCTCTCGGAGGTGGACACGGCTGGCATGGCGGCTTAACAGCGGCTGGACTGCGACAACACATTCCGTCGACTTGCGAAGAAGCACTGCTCTCGGTACAAGCTTTTGTTCTTGACGCGCCACCCGCGAGTCTAGGTGAATCTGTGAACATTAACGATGAAGTGTCACATTCTTGTAAAATCCGTCACTTGCTGTTATGGAAACGGAATGTCTTTTGACGTGGCTCACCTCCGCTAGATAAAAATGCTTGACTATTCTGATTCACTGAAAAACGATTAACAGAGCTTTATTTTTACTGTTTAGGATTGAGGACTCGTTGTCCAATTGAATGGATATGTACCGCATACGGAATTGCCTCGCGGTGACAAACTGTCAGCGAATGGTGGCTGAAGGCAACACTTGCACGGACAGTAATCGTCGTCCTGCTGCACCGTAGTGGTGTACGAATACGAACGAAAAGGAGACGGGCTTGATGTTGGAGAGGTAATTCCACCTGGACAAGTGTAACAACAAGGACTGGTGATCTGTTGACTCAAGCAAGCTACTTGACGACTCAATTCCGAATTCTCCTTCACGACTATTCTCATTTCAGCCTGTAGTCCGCATACCTTCCTCTGCAGGCTCTCGACAGCAGAGTCTTTCTCCAGTAATGCTTCTTCTAATTTATATCTATGTACCAAACACATTAACTTCTATCACAGACACGAGATCATTTGACTTATGTCAACATGATTAATTTTGTCAACGATAAGGGCTGCGTGATCGTTGTTAGGGAAACGTAATTGATTTTCATATTTTCTTTTCATGAACCATCTATTATTTCGTACGAGATATCGGGTGTTCAGGATAAAGACTCTTACTTGCCGCCTTCGAGTTGCGCATTCTCTATTACGAGTTTCTCTTGCATGGTTAACGATTCCGTTAATTTTCCAGTTAGATTCTGGAGCGATCTGTCCTTGCCTCTCTTTTTGCTGTCTGCTACGACAATTTTTGGAATTTCATCTTCCGTATATCCACAAACGATTACTCTTGGAAGTCTAATTACACGATAGCAAATAAAATATAACTTGCATAAAGAGGATAGCATTCATGCAACACGAATATTGACGTTGATCACGTACTTGTCTTCCGGATAATCAATTTGAGGTAGATCAAAAACATCTTCCGGCCTTTCCTTCGACACTCCTATATCTCTTTTACTGGGTACTTTCCTGAAAGGATCTGCATCTTTAATACCAATTTCCACTTCTTCTTCAGCAATAACCTGCAACCCAGTTGATTACATTCAACGTGCCAGCAATGTTTCCTTGAAATTTTGTACTTACTTGATTTCATTTTAAAACTGTATAATATCATGGTAACACTCCTCATAATATTATCGTTTATTGCATGATAAAATTGATTATTTTCTTACTACCGAAAAGAACCATGAAAAATACTTGAAAAGACAAATCGACTAATAGTATTTACTTCGTGCTTTACTCGTTTTAACAGTTAGTATGTACCCCGCTAGGTTTCGAGTGCGGATACGGTAGCATGTCGAACATTTTCGAAAAGGTGACGCTAGAGAAATCGGACAAGCCCAGCGAACGTTGCACCTTCCTGGTTATCTCCTCGAATTCTGCCAGCTTCGACATGATTTCATTCTGCTTCGACTGAATCGCCATTGTGTCCTCCGCCGTTAAATCCTTTTTCTATAAAACGACACAACGATAGCAAATAAACGAAACACCTGGAAGTTAAACGAGTGTCGAGATATATTTTAGAAGGCATTACCACGGTGAGCTGAGATATTTCAAGTTTTAATGTTTCAATCTCTTTCGCCAGCACAGCGCAACGTTCGTCTGCTTTCTTCAGTTCTTCCTGTACAGCGGAGTCTGTCAAAGGAGATGAGCTCAACACGGATTCCACTCTACCACCAGGCTTGATCGGGACACCTGGATAAAAAATACGTTAATCGAATTAATTTTAAGTAATTAATCATTGTATACTAAAAGAAACTATTTCTCTCAGGTAAATTTTGATCCATTATGTATTATAATTCTGTTACAAGGGGTGCACCTTCACCAACACCAGGCGGAAGCGGATATTCTGGAGGCTGGCCTTCTTCAAACTTCTCTGTAGCCCCATCATCGACTTCATCTACCGCTGCATTGTCCTCTTCTTCTGGTACAGTTTCCTCTGGCGTGTCACCCTCGACATCTTCAAACTCTTCTTCAGCAACTTCTTCTAACGCTTCTCCCTCGTTTTCAGCCATGCTGAAATGAAATTAATTTAGCGACGAAATAACTGCCGACACATAACTGAAAATTAAATGTATTTTACGTCGATAATGTCACTTCTACTGTACTTGGTCTTCCCTTCTTTTCAGATTCCTTTGGCCTTTCAACGTTTGGGTCCTCCTTGATATTTTCCGCTTTATTTTTGTAATCGTCGGTTTCATAAACCTACCAAACGTTCAAAATTAATTTCTGAATTAATTTCACAATTTAATACCAAAATCGCACCCGTTTAAGAATGTGCGGTTCAAGGTCCGTCCGTTGTCGCAAATGCAGCGAATCTGTGAGGTTCTTAGAATTCTGAACCTTTTCCGACGCGAATGGAAAAACGTGCCCCTCTTGATAGCATTCGACTGTTATCGAGAATACTTCTGGTAAATTCAAGGGTTTCTTGAGGTCGAACAAAGATTCCAATGAACCAAAGACATCCCTCTTCAAGGACGACTCGTTGCAGTTTGCGTTCTTCTTTTGCGACTTCGGCCCGTAGCGTTGCAAACGACGACGCTTCAAATCGTAAGAGCTTCTCGTTGTGATAGGAAAGCTGTCGAGTTCGCGAGCATAAAGAGACGTAGGTGAACTTCCTGGAGAACGGGATATGTTCAACGTACACGGTCGCCGCTTCTGAAATAAAAAAATTTAAAAAAAAAAAGATACAAAAATCAATACAAGTAGTATAACAATTCTTTTTTTAATGTTTAACGTATTTAGGTTTATGAAAGGACTTGAAGTACTCCACGATGTTCGTGGACTTGTAATAACAAAAGTACAAGGACGAGACTGATAAGGATATGATTAAATGTACCTGGCGAACAACAAAATTCGATCACCTTCTTATTTTCCTAACTACTAGTCAAATTCCAATTACTTAAAAACATCTAAAAAATGGTTAATATTTTACCTTCATTATTTTACCTTCGAAACAACACCGTTGCTTCACTCAGTAACGCAGCTTCTTTTAAAAGAATCGTAAGTTAGGAAACGACACGATCCCCTTCCCTGGTTTACTCAGTGAAGAATCGGCACTGATATCAAATAGGGTCGAACGATTTCTTAGTTTTTCAAAAATGCCTTTTTTATGTAATTTTCGTAGATGTCAAAACTGCAATAGATAATATGTTTGATGTGTTAACAGTCGTCGAAATTAGGAGGAAGTCGAGGAAAGATTTTTTTTTTATACCGATCGTGACACTTACTCGGGAGAACCATCAATTTCTTCGAATAAGGATCTGAAGCATGCGTCTTTTATTTTTATGTTAACATAGCTACATATTCGATTTATCGTTTATATTCATGACATGTAGATAATTTAAATACTTTAATCCTTACAATGATTTATGTTGAAATTACGAAACGATATAACAGTTACATACATCGTCGATAAGTTATTGCATTTTTTCATTTGATTAAAAAATATACAATAATATTTTACTTGTGAATGAAATAACATGCTTTTTTTACTTAAACCCTGTAACAATACATTACATTTTGCACATTTAAAAAATATTCTCATGACTTCTTTGACAATGATCAGCAGAGAAATTTAGCGAGACAAATATATGTTAAATTAAGATAAAAATTGATGAAGAATAATTATTATTGAAATCAAGTAACACTGTAAAATGCCAAGCTTATTTTGTGCAATGTAAACACATACTTTTGAACGAATTACCGTAATACATTCGTTCAAAAAGATCAATCGAAAATTCCGCTTATGTGTAAACACTATTGTTGTTGTCTTCGATATATTAATTTTATTTGCAAAACGGAAAAGATGTGAACATATGTTTTGTGAAAAAGAGGTCTTGTCGATTGAAATAATATTTTTATTGCATTCATACGGAAATATTTTAGTTTACATTTTGGTAAAATGGAGGTTATGGACTACAGTAAGTGTTTATATTAAATCATTTAAATATAGGACTTATAATAAAATATTATAATTGTAATTTTTATATGATTGCATATATACATAAATAAATATAATTATTGCAATAGATCTGTATTTTTTTGTATTATACAGAACACAAATTTTATACATCATTTTCTGTATATAAACGAGAGTATAAAAGTACATACAATTTTAGCATATAAACAATAAATTAAGAATATATACGAATTTATTATAATTATATTGGATTTATAATAGTTTGAATTGAATATTGTAGGTGGTGAAGCACCAGAAATTGAAGGTGCCGATGAAGATCATTCTGAAGAATCAGATAATAATGACAATGATGGCAATGCTGTAGAGATTGCAACTCCGATAGAAATCCCAGTAGAAGATACAAGTGAGTAATTTTCTTCAAGTCATGCATGTCTGTTATGTTTACTTATAATTGTGTCATGTACGTCTGCTATTTTAGAAAATGATGATGATGATGAATCAAAGGCAAAGAAAGCTAAAGAAACAACTACAGATGAGTCTGAAGTTGATTCTGATCAATCTTGTCCCATATGTATGGATCTATGGACTAGCTCAGGAGAACATCGTTTGTGTTGTTTGCGTTGTGGGCATTTATTTGGACATAGTTGTCTTTTGAGATGGTTACATTCTTGTGCTAGTGCAAATCGCCGTTGCCCCCAGTGTAATAGGAAAGCTACTGTAAAAGATATTAGAATGTTGTATGCCAAGAAATTAACATCTATAGATACCTCAGAATTAGATAAATTAAAAGAACAAGTAAATAAAGTAACGACTGAAAAAAATCGTATAGAAATGGAATTGTCAAAGTATGCTCTAAGACAAAAATTGTTTGAACAACAAGTAGCTAGTATGCAGAATCGTATAACTGAACTAGAAAGTCAACAATTGGAAATAAGCATTCATTCTAATCAAAATATTTCTAAACATATGGTTAAAAAATTTCATTTAGATCGATCTATAGAGATATGTAAAGATGGTGGTTGCCGTGTATTAGATTATAATCCTTGGTATGGGTTCCTAGTTGTATCTCAGAAATCGACGAACGCGTTATTCTCCGGTTATGGCATTAAAAAAATTGATTCAGAAAAGTTTCAACCACGTCAATTTATTTTTTTACATTCTCAAGCTATAAGAGATATCATGTTTAACGCGACCCAGCAGTCATTATTACTTAGCGTTGGTTTTGATAAATGTGCAAAATTAATGGACATTCAGAATCACATTATCGTGCACACTTATCAAACGGATTATCCATTGTGGAGTTGCTGCTGGTCAGGTGACAATCCAAATATATTTTTCACGGGTGCACAGAATGGATCTATAACACAGTTCGATATCAGGCAAACCTCTGGTGCTATTGAAACCCTGGATAGTCCGGGCGATAGATCGCCGGTGGTTTCTTTAGCAACAGTACCTTCTAATCCTAATAGTGGTATTAGTAGAGGTGGATTTATTGCATGCCGCTTAAATACATGTTATGCTTATGAACAAAAAGAATCGAAATATGTACCGAAACAAATATTCCTCGAGGGTCCGTTTGTATCAGTATGTTACGATGAAAAAAACAATCATGCGTTAATATCTTCCCGTCCAAATGCCAGGCAACCTCATGCTAGGCACATAGTATGTACGATAGAAAAAGGTAACGATGAAACAGCTATTTGTAATGTTGTACACGCATTTCATGCTGGTAATTCTCAGCAGTTATTGTCTCGACCATGTTATATAAATGTTGAAAATGATACATTAGTCGCTGCGCATCAAGAATCCACCAGTAGCATATCGCTATGGAGTATATCGACGGGAAAACAAATAAATAGTCTTCCTGTATCTGACCCTGTTGTGGATATGTGTGCAGTCGATGTTAATAGTAATTTATTTTTAGCAACGCTTTCCGCAAAAAAGGTTAGAATTTATAGTCATGGATAAATTTTATTATTAGAAAAATAACAAATGTGTGTAAAAACAAACGCGATGCTTGTATTGCCTAATCCATGACCAAAATGTCTTTCACATATACATCGTAAGCTTGTAATTTAAGACATGTATGATAAAACTACTGATAATGCATTTCCTAATTCCAAGGCTGAATAATATTTTTTTGTACGAGATCATGTGATACAAACGTTTGTAAATAACATAAAACAAACATTTACTCCAAGTCAAGCACAAGTTCATTTACTTTTGACAATACAAAAGTTCTCTGCATGCATAACTTGAACTTACGAAAAATAGTAAAAATAAATTTAAAAGTTACCATTAGTTAGTTAAATATTATACGTATCCTTATTAGTAGACTAGACTGATCTGAATAATATTTAAAAATAAAATAATAATAGTGAAAGTAAGTATACTGATAAACATTAAGTAACATGGTTGCTAATAATACGAAAAATGTACAGAAGTTAGGATTAATCAATTGTAGTTGTAAGGGAACTTTTGTATAAATACTTTAAATACTAGTACTGAAAAAGTTGTTTATTAATATTTTTGAAATATTAAATTACATCTAGAATGTTTAAAGATGTTGCATCCAATTATTTTCATAAATTAACCCATGTATACCTAAATTTTTGTAAATCTGTGTTTCTAAATCAAACAAACCAAACAGCATTTATAATCTATTAACACAGCCTCTGTATTAATTACTAAAAGATGTAAAAGAAAATTGAAAAATTCCTATTTTAGCACTGCCAGGGACATGATATTGTGTAATTATATTTAAAAGTCTATATAACATGTGTAGGGTAATACGTGTAATGCTATACAAGTAGTGTTTTGAACAAGTTTGCAATGTATTCTACATATGCCGCTATTTTATTAGATTCTATGAATAATTAATTTCTCCTTAAATTAGTTATAATTCAGCTATCCTTCGCAAACAAGACACTTTCATACATAGTACTAAATATTCGTAATAGAAAACCTTTTTTTTTTCTAGATTTGCAACACCATACTTTGTTTAATATTTTTTTTGTCATTAAATTTATTATTACTTGAAAACCAAATTTGCTTTATAACTGTATCCCTAGTGACGTATAAATGCGATTTGCTTTCTGAACGTGGAATGTACATGTTCAGTTTCGAATGCAATAAGCTACATATACATATATATAGTAATGTATACATA